AAAATGCACTTTGCATACAAATTCTGTGCCAGTATTATTTTGCACCACTATTTTGGGACAGTATGTTGATAAATGTTAATATTGTTCTAGATTAAAATTTGGAAGCACTGTTAAAACAAAAAAACAAGTAACATTACCCAAGGATTACTAAATTCAAGAAAACAAGAAAAGTTACAACTCAAACAGCCAATGCTACTTAGTAACAGGGAGAATAAATTATATATGGATGAAAAAACATCTATAACAAGAGGGCGAAGAGATTATAATTTTCTCAAAACTTCAAATTAACATTCATGGCACACACAGTATCACAATACAATCTTTTGCAAAAAAAAAATCGAAGCACCAAGAAGGGCTTTTGTGATTGTGACAAAATTTGGTATGCAAAAACATCTTGATTGAACATGCAAATGATCAAAGTTTTTCAAGGCAAATGAACAGGAACTGTGATCATAGCGCTTATTTCTAGTGCGCAATATGAAAAGTATAAAACCAGTAACAGAGGAGGAAAATTTATCCCTCTTTTTTTTTTTTTTTTTTTTTTTCTCTCATTGTAATTCCATAAAGAAGCAACTAAAGATGCCATTACAATAATATCAAAGAACTTACAGACAACTAAATGACTTTGAACATGGTCGCATTGTACGGTTGCATGAAACTGGGTGGTCATACCGAGCAATAGGCCACCACCTGCAGCGTACAGACACTGCTGTGCAAAGATGTTGGCAGCAATGGTTGCATGCACTGCAGCCACATCTATAACTCCCGTGATACCGTCCACCATCTCACATGCTTGTTCTGAGGTGGAGTTACACTCACAGAGGTCTTTAAGACGTTTGCCTTTGATCTCAAAACATCAGCGGAATCATCTGGCGTGGTGTCACAGCCAATCAGCATGGCTGCCATCAGACTGGCATCGTATAGTGTTCAGCGATGAATCTCACTTCACTCTTGAAGCAGATGACCACCGTGTTCGTGTCTGGAAAGGACGGGGCCAGCAGTCCCAATTTGCCTTTGTTTTAAAAAGGCATACAGCCAAATAACCCCTGGTGTGATGGTATGGGGCACTATTTCTTATGACAGCAGGTCATCTTTAGTCATCCTGCGTACATTTTTAACAGCTCAATGATATGTTGATACCATCCTGCGGCCGGTTGCATTACCTTTCATGGCAGGTCATCCTGGGGCCATTTTCCAACAAGATAATGCCAGGCCACATACCGCTCGCATACCTCTGCAAATGTCTCGGTGTGGTTGATACTCTTCCCTGAACAGCAAGGTCACCAGACCTTTTGCCAATCAAGCATGTCTGGGATATGGTAGGGCGCCAGATTCGGACACCACAAAATATCACAGATCTGGAGCAACAACTGATGAATGCCTGGCAGAATGTATTGCAGGATGACATTAGGAACCTCTACCACTCCTTGCCTTGACGAATTCAAGCACGCATTGCCGCCAGGGGCGGTTTGACCAACTACTAATTTGTACACTCAATGGGTAATTGTGAGCCATGAAGAGGTACTATGACCTTGATATTTTAATCATTTTATTATCTGTGTATGAGCTATACACATATTCAGTTTCATCAAAAACAGCCACTTCCTTAATGGTGCTTCGATTGTTTTGCAAAAGAATGTAGAAACATAATCTTCCTTTTTTTTTCTTTCCTGATTGTCAAGTAAACCAAACATATATTTCCACTTTTTCTTTTTTTAATTTGCACATTATATTTTTCTCCTGGCTTTTGTTTTCTATAACTAGATGAGATAGAATAATCTTAGATAGCAAAACTAGATTAACTTATGAATATAAGTATATATTATGTATAAGAAAATCAGGAAATTTCTAAAAAAGATTATGCAGCCAGTTAATTCAGCCTCTACAAACAGAACTTGAGCAAACTGTTGATTTTCCATAATTAACCATTCTGTAGTATGCCTCATGACAGAATAGAAATTATCTTTAAAGTTCACTGAATCAAAGACTTGTATAAAATGGCGATTAAAAATCGGGAACTTTCAGCATCATCTCTAAGCACAAATTTGCTATGCAGATACACAGATATATAAGACTTTTTTATGTGATATAAACAGACAGCATATAAAATACTGTTACGAATTTGGTATTTAAAAAGCTAATGTTAGTTCAATTACAAATTAAATGGTTTTATTTCTCGCGCAGTGCAGCGCGTGACGAATATTAAAAAGAAAGCTAAGCCGGAAAATTGAAAATACAAGAGCGCGTGCATGAAATAAATAAATATCTCTTTTTGATTTCGAGAAAGTGCTGGAAAATTCTAGCGCGTGATTTTAAAATCTAATAAAAGGAGGAAAACATCTCAGTTTGGAGTAGTTGCTTAGTTTGTTGTTGTTTAGAAAACTGCTCTTGTTGATTGTAGCGAATTCGCGGATTAGCATTCTTTAGCTGTTTTGAATGACGTTCTATTGGACATTTGTAGTTAAAAGATAACTACTGTGAGATATTGTAATACTGCATGATAATTTGAGAAAATTTAAGCATTTTTGTTGTGATAATAATAAATTTTTGTTCACTTTTCATCGGACTTGTGCATTCATTTCATAACGAACCCGTTCGCACGCAACAATACTATTCTTTGAAAACTAGGGCTTCAATAATACTTCTGTGCCTAGAATTTTAAAATAAGACAAAATATAATTATAACTGTTTAATACAACCAATAATCTTTACGGAATTTTTCTCTATGCCATACAGCTTTCGCTTATCATATTAATTTTTTACTATTAAATTTTTTGTAATGGTACATATATTAATATTTTTAATTTAAATCTAGTTTTATAAATTTTTGCTTTTTTATTGAGACAAAGGGCAGTGAAAAGCTTATGCCTGTATTTCTCCAAACAAACATTTCAATTTAGGTAAACTTCAAGGTTGTGTTGATCAAGAAACAGTATACGCACTTTATTAACCATATGTTGCTGCTCTGGATTTTCACTCATGTTTACTGTAGGTAAAAAAATATCAGAAAGCAAACATTCATACATAGTTTCTGAACAACATATTGTTTAGTGTGATCTACATCCAGTAGTAGACTAGGCCCACCAGCGGCCGAGCGGTAAAGTCGCTGAACACTGGTAGTTCGGTCCGAGGTTCGAATCCCGCGAACGGGCTGGCTGCATGGGTGTTTTCGTGGTTTTCCCCATGTGTAACGTGCATACGAGTCAGTTTCCCTTAGAAAGTCCTCCACGAAGGCATCCCTCCTCTTAGGCAGATAGCCCTAGCATGCTTTGCCATAATTAAATACACACACACCAGTAGTAGACAAATCTATTTCAAAAACCTATTTTGATCATAATACTTTAATATCATATATATGGAGATATCCTCTTTATGTCTGGTTTCAGGTATTATTTGCCCATGACTTCAGTTTACTGGCACATAAATTCCTGCTATATGCACTCAGGGAATTAGTACAAAAAATAAATTCAGGTTAAACTTAAAAGAAAGAAAAGAGAAAATCTAATGATTGGATAATAATAAAGATGCAAATGACTAAAACTTTATCCACAACTTTTGTTACATTAATGGCTACTATTAAAGCAATGTAGAATATATTGTAAAAATATTTTTTACCTGTTTCTTCCCTATTTGATTTATATAGTGTATGCTTTAGTTGCATAATTAATCACAATAAAATTTTGCTGGGCAGTTAGATAATCTTTCTTTCCCTTCCACAATTTGGAAAAAGAAGTGGAAAGGCAATGTCTTTCTGGTATGAAAGATATGAAAGGAAATTTTTAGCTCAGAATTGTCAACTATGACATAAACAACTTCAAACTGGTGTAGAATTTAGACCAATCAAACTATGCATTCAGTCATATCTTGCGCAGTCTATCAGACGATTTAAAATCTTCCCTCAAGTGCCAAAGCGGTGGTATTTTGGGAAATAATATTAAAAAATATTGTGATGGTAATTTTGGGAATTGGAGACAGAATATATTTTGATAAAATAAGAAAAGTGACGTTGATCAAAAGCACAAAATAATGCTGATCAGAGTGGAAGACAAGAATTATAGACTGTATACATTCTAGCTAATGCAACATGAAAGACTAAACAACTATGAAACTATGAAACAACTATGAAAGACTAACATGAAAGATTTTCCCCCCTCCATCTGTAGCTGCAAGCATTCTTACATCAACTTTAAAACCAAACTTTTACTAGAAATCTTCTATATAATAATGTTTTTCAGAGATATTCCAAAAGACAAGTTCATTGATGGCTAGCAATAATTTTTATCAGCAACTTTTTAAATAGTCAATCAAAATACTCACATTTATGTCAGAAACTTCAAGACTGTCAAACTCTTCAAGAAACAACATTCTGTTACAAAATCTTCAAAAGGCAGCAATTTAAAGTTTTCACAGTTTCATTACTAGCATGGATACTGAGAAATGTTTTATTTTTTATAACATCATAGTTACAGAAAGAAGACAAATATTCAAGAAAGAAAACATTGAGACTGCGATGATGTTGCTTTAAATTATTTTTTTCTTATATGATTGAAGTAGTTTATTTGGTTATAATAAATTTGAGAAATAGTGATTTGTATTCTTTCTTTAATTTTTTTAACTTTTTCATTTATTTATTTTAATTTTGTAAAAGAATTTATTTTATCAATATTAGAAGAGAAGAGTAAAAACACCTCAATACCAGCTTTCATGAATCTAAAGATAGTTTCAGTATAAAATTTATAACTTTAATTGTTTTTTTATGGACTTTCACCATTTTCACTTTTGAAACTTCTATTTCAAAAGAAATATATATTGAGAAAATACAAATGAAAAAAAAAATAAATAAAATAATATTTTGTGTCCCAAACTATTTTTCTATATAATAATAATTTCACTATCCATTCATTTTTGTATATGTATGAGTTCCATTCAAGTACAAAGACCCTTTAGTTGAAACAATGATATTCTAAAAATATTAAAATGTTATCTAATGCTACACATACCTTAAACTGCAAAATGCTTTGCATTTTTTCTATTTCATTCTGTAAAACTTTTTCTCTTTTATGACATTCTTCCAATTTTTCAGCAACTATTTTATCCCTGTTCAGCCTTTCATCCTGCAATGCTTTTGAAGTTTTTTCCAGCGTCTGGCTGAGTAATTTTATTCTACCTTCCAATTCATATTGTTGTAATTTCACATTTTCTAACTGAAGAAAAAAAAAAAAAAAAAAAAAAGGATAAATAAATAAATAAATAAACTGCAACTAGTAACAATGTTAAACCTAAAAAATTTCAAAATTGCTAAAGGACTATTATAGAACAAAAGTAATTAATCTTTTAAAATTTATTAATTGAATATTAATTTGCCAAATTATTTTAATTAGCCCATTTGTTTCTCTGTTTCTTTATTCGGAGAGTTCTAATTTTTATACAGCTTAATTTTTGTACAGTGTTATTCATTACAACAGATTATACCTTGACGACTAACTAGATTTTTTTAGACTTTAGAATTTTTTTAATTACTTAGCGTTTGTTTTAATTTTTTTTTTTTGTTTGTTTGCTCTTTTTTAGAAGCATTTAAATTTTGATTTATGTTGTTCCTGTTAGAGTGTAAAAGGCCACTTACTTTTGATTTAATTATTATCACTCTATAAGGTATTTCTACCTCCTTCTTAGCATGCCTTCATGCTGTAGTGGTCAGCATGCTCGGCGCGTATTTGAAAAGTCTGCGGTTCGAGTCCCGGTGAGGGCATTGCTCATTTTTCATTTCAATACCTAATGTCCCTACAGTGGCACCAGAACTAAAAAAGAAGGTGGATGATGATTCTCCACCACCAGGGTTTGGCAATTGGGTCCCCTAATCCCCTGTCGCCCTTCAAAAGAAGGAGTATATAAGGTATTTCTCCTGCCTTCTTAGCATGTCTTTGGGATGCAGTGGTCAGCATGTTTGGCATGTAGTCGAGAGGTCCATTGCTCATTTTTCATCTCTCTTACTTTTAAAAAATAGCTAATGTCTATAACTTCATTATTTAACTAATTTTGCACCATGCTGCATAACTTTAATAATTAATAGTGTTGCTGAACACTGGTAGTTTAGTCAGGGGTTCAAATCCTGGCAAACAAGCTGGCCGCATAAACATTTTCGTGGTTTTTCCCCATGTGTAATGAGTATACAAGCCAATTTTCCCTTAGAAAGTCCTCCATGAAGGCACCCCTTCCGTTAGAGAAATAGCCCTCAAGTATTTTGCCATACTCGAACAAAACAAAACAAACATTTCTTTAAATAGCATATTTGAAAAAACTGTAATTTGATCTGGAGTTTAACACTCAAAACAACTTTAAATTAAGTAGTTATGATGTGCCTATTTAATTTAAGAATTAATTCCAAATAGATTAGATACAGAGAGTAGTCTTATATTTTAAAATAGCAAAGCCAAATAGAAATAAATTGCTATAATTTTATTTTATTGTAAATTAATGCTCCATGGAGCCTAAAAAAGGCATTGTATCTCTTACTGTATTAGGCATTTATTTTATTTTGGAGTAGAAGACATGAAAAATGAGCAATGTCACTGGAATTCAAATTCTGGACCTTCCGATTGCTAGCCAGATGTGTTTTAAAGTTAATCCTTGAGGACATACAGTAAGGAGGAAGAAAAAATCTTACACTTTCTCCCACTTAAAAGGTGATTCAGGATGAAGAGAACCAGCTGCCAAATCCTAGTGGCAATACATTGTCGTCTACCACCTCTTAGTTTGGGAGGCATTTATAGAAAGCATTGGGAATTTTACTTTGGAGTAGGAGAAATGAAAAATGAGCAATGCCCTCACCAGGATTCGAACTCCTGACCTCCTGATTACTAGCCGGGCGTGCTTTTCAGTTACACAGTGAAGGCACACACTGAGGAGTAAGGAAATATCTTACACCATTCCTGTTCTGTTGATCCACAAAATTCAACTTGTTTTTCATATATCAAACATGTGACTTAAGATAATATTAGATTTATTGCATTGCTTTAAGGTACTCATTGTAACATAAAATCGAGTTTTTCTTCAAATGACACACCTATATTTCTCCATGGTTCTTTCTACACCTGAAATTATGCTAAACTGCCCCATTTTGGAAAAACAGCATGAACAGTTTTGTTAAAATCAATACTCAAAATTTTCACTTGTTAATGTTAGCTGAATTTGATACACATTTACTAATATTGCCATTTTAATCAGAATTCCTTGTTTTTTCTTTTATAATCTGTAATTTAGATTTAATTCAAATACAATTCTCACTTTTTGTCTAAACATTTTTAAAATTTTTTTTAATTTTTCAAAAAATTTCTTGAAATATAACCTATACAGATTTGCACACCATTTTAAAGTAAATATTTTTAGATATATTTCCAAAACAATAGACTTTTATTAAAAATATTTGGCAGTGATTTCAAAATTGGCATACATAATAAGTGAATCGCCAGAATTGAATGTCATTCTGTTTTGCACTCTTTAGGTTCTTTGCCTTTATTTTTTTTTTTTTTTTTTTTTTTACTCCACTTTATTTAAAAAAAATTAAGAAAATGATTTTTACCAGGATAATATTTTAATTTAAAAAACATCAAATAAGGATTTTTTTTTTCCAAAATTGTAATTGCATTAACATTTTTTAGAACGTTATTCAAAGGAAAATATTAACCGATTATACTTGTAGGTAGAAATGTTTTTTATGTCCATTAACATATAAGGAGCACTTTCCCTATTTTAAATGAACAAGTTTTTTAACAATGTCCTGTTTTCATCTAAATGTATTTAATTTTTGCTTTAAAATAGCTGAACTTAAAAGATTAAACATAGTTTAAAATAAAATAGCTGTCAAATTTAAATAAAATACATGATGATTTGCAGTAAAAAAGTATGCTTTTCAAAACTCCATATTTTAACAAAGCTTCTGCTTTTTAAATATGTAAACTTCAGAGAAATACTTTACTTATTAGACTTTTTTCCCAATTTTGTCAAATTCTTAATTATTATTTTACTTTGCAGATTTCTAGTGCAAGGTACAAAATATTTAATATTCACTGAAAAATTTACATTTTAATGCTATGATAAAATTTCACGCAGATGGTATGACTGGGTCCAAATCAAAAGATAACATTTTAATTTTTGGAAATACTTTTCAAATATGCAGTCACTTAGACACATATAAATTACTAATTTTATTTTAAAATAAAATGCTGCTAATATTTTCGAAAAAAATATTGAAGACAGCTAGACATACATGATATCTCCCAAGCTATTATAAAAAAAGTTCATAATGTAAAACGTAGTATCCACATTCACTGGACATATACCATAGCAGTTAAAGGATATATATTCACTAATTTTTCTTATTACATGAAAGATTTATGACTAGAAACTACATCAAATCTTAGAAGAAGAAGGAAAAAAAAAAAAAAAACTATGGAAATTACTTATTTCATCTAACTTTTATACATTATCGTCTAAAGAACAACGCTATGAGTTTCAGATAATTTTAATCTGTGCAGTTAGAGAACTCAAAGATATTCTACACAATAATTAACATTCTGAAAATGTATCATTTGTTTTCATTTAATGGTGAAATCTCATCTGTTTTCGCCCCTCTTTGAAATGGTAATATAAATACCATAAATAGTAAAAAATTGATATTTGGTATTAACATTGGACGGGGATATCTAGATGCCTAAAAAAAAAAAAAGAAACCATTCAACTTCAAAATATGGACATAATGCAAAAAATAGAATTAGAACTGTTGTGAACTACAGTTTGCAGATGCCTCTTTAAATAATTACTTCATATCAGCCAGAAGAAATTTGCCATTTATTGGGAAAATACAAAAATCAACAGCTGTAAATAACTCGAGAGTAACACAGATATTACTCAAATCCTCTTCTTAATAGATGAGAAATACTGTAATCTCCAATATCAGTCACAAAGGAAACTTTAAAATGGAAGAGTAAACTCCAAATTACAATTCAGTTCACTCTGTATGATCTGCAATCTTTTTCATAACTGCCTAACAACTGAGTGATCTCTGGCAGCTGAAGCCATAGTTATGCAATGTTGCATATGGTTCTGGAAACTTCATGAAAAATTTCTTCAAGACCTTTGAAAACACATTTTCTCAAAATTTACAGAAATCACCAATCTGATGACAGAAATTATCACCAAGAGCCATCAGCAGTATTTTTGCCCATATCTCATTTTCTGGTTGATTTATTTTCACAATTTGAATGTTTTGGGATTCAAAATCTCAAGATCTAAACAATTCTATACAAGAAATAAAGCCTTATATGCAAACTACCTAGTTAAAAATTTAATTACACAAAAAGACACTTTAAAATTATGTATAATGCAACAAATAAATGAATAAATAAAAAAGATACAAAATATGATACTGTATTAACGCAGCCACCTTGGTAGAAGTCACCACATTTTCAGAATATGCCTAACTCTGGCAACCATGTGCATACATTTCTTCTGGCATGCATCCTCATAGCAGTCCTTCTGTCAAGCAATGCCACCATTTTTGCATGCATTCTTTTTTGTTACATTCCAAGTTCCAATGGTTTCTATAAACAAATCATGATTTTTTTTTTTTCCCCCTTAGTTTTAAAATATGAGTTTGTGCAATTGGCCAGCAATGGGAAAAAACTGCAGTAAAATTTTGGCAAGAATAAACATTTTGCTGATAATTTTCTAAAGGAAGCAGCGAGGAAATGCATTTCCCAGATAAATGCTGCTGCCGAAGATTGCGAGAGGCTCAATCTCTGCAGTTCTCTAACACTTTTTTTTAAGTGAAAAACAGATCACTGTGTATTTCGGGAGAATAGAGCAAAAAACTTACAAAAAGATTTAAAGAAGAATGTGTTTTATTTTTTTAATGTATCATGTAATCCTTATTTAATAATTCCAATTTATATTCCAAATGGCTAAAGTATGTTCATATGGCTGATAAATTTTACTTGTTTATGATAAATATTGATAATTTGGGAATCTTTCTTACAAAAAAAGAGTAAAAACCACTAGTTTGCACCTAATAAGTAACTTTTACCTTTTCATCTGGGAAAAAAACACCAAATTGTGCCAAGGTGGTTGCATTAATACATAAGTCCCCAAAATATTACAAAAAAGCATAAGAACAATAATACAATTAAATAGACACAAATATTTACAG